TCAGTATATTTTATCTCACCTAGATAGGAGAGATCTGAGGTCTTCAGAGGTCCTCAGAATAGCATACTCCACAACCGTTTCCTATCCCTTCTCCAGCTGACCCCAGAAATAAGCTGAAATTCACTCATCACCCAGCTGAGTTTTCTTCTCAATCTTCTTTTCCTAATTCTGGTTCTAGATGAGCCTTACCTACCCAGTATGTATTTTGGTAGCTAAGGTGGAACATGGGAGATTGACTGACACAGCTTGCCCTCTCTCCAGCCCCTCACCTCATGTCTAAGTCACTTACAACCTGCATTTGCTCGCTTTGTTGCTCATGTGACATTCTCATTTGTTCACAACTTAAGTCAGAGACAACATTTCAGAAGAGTATGTACTGAGATAAGTAAAGACTAGGTCAGTCTCCAACAGCTTGCACTTTTCACTTCCTCTTATCAGTAGGTGATCCTGTTGACATGATTCATGCTTGAGGACACACGGCAGCACAATGTAAAATGAATCATTAGGCATGGAAAAAAAAAAGAGAGAGACCTAAGATGATTACAAGTAAAGTGAATGTGTCATTAAAGCCCTCTAAGGGAGCATGTTTTGCTAGACTAAAACCTGGCTTTCTTATTATGCTAACTTATCCTGATTTTCTGATAGTTAATAATTCCCTAAGTAGTGCCTGAAAAATAATATATTTTTGACCCTCAAGACAGAAATTATTTAATTTATGGTAAGGTCTTTTCCCAATGACAGATGGTCAATAATCCTTAATTTTTACATAGTGATATAATTTACCAAAACTTTACTGCCTAGAGATTCTTTAGCTAATTTTAAATTAATAAAGAAGCCACTACTTTGGTCTCCATAGTAGTTATTTTTAAAAGGAATTGAGGAAGGAAATATTCATGCAAAGCTATGACTTAAAAAATTAGAGTGGAAACCTGTCTACATCATTTCTAAAGTAAATTATCTGTTATCTCTGGGTTGACAAGATAGTGGACTTTTATATTGTACAGATGTGAATTCTTTACAGATGTCACTTTTCACTAAGCTATAAAAACATTACATTTCACAACCTTGACACGTAGGATCTCCCCTGCTCCCTCCCCCTCAAGTGAACTTATCTTGCATTTTTCAGATGCAAACTGGATAAAAGCGGTGGGGCTAGAGATTGATGGTAAAAGTGGCAGTTTTAAAACACCTAGTTCTTTAAATCAGCTGAAAAGACTGAGAAGGGACAATTCCTCAGCGTTAACCGTTGGTCAGTGGAATAGCTTCCTGAGTGGTGTCCAGGGCTTGGCTGCCAGGCCACTCCTCTCACTGGCCCACACCAAGTGCATGGGGCTTGGGATTTGTCTGTCTGCAATATCATCTCCCCAGTGACTCTTGGCGAGCAATCCCTGTGTCAGATGGCTAATATATTGCCTTTGCAATAGGATGCCTTCCTAAAGAAACAAGTAAAACTTTTAAGAGGCAATGATTATTGGTTTTGATCATCCACAAAGCATTCATTTTTCTCATTACTGTTTTCTCTTTGTTTTCTCCAAATTTTGTTTAAAGACGCTTCTCGTAGAAGTTAAAAAAAACTATAAAGGTTTATCATTACAGAGAACAGAGCGATAAAAGACAGCTGGACTGTACCTATTAGTACACTTCTTTCTGTTATTTTCAGGAAAGAAAGTTTAACAGAGTAACTGAGACTGCATTGAACTCAGTAATGATGTTTAAGGAAAAACCCCATTATTACTAATATAGGTGAACAGGTTAATTCCTTTATGTAGTTCAGATTCTACGTACATATATTTATGTCCTCTTTCTTTAATTTTTATGCACTTCCAAGTTTTAGTTGGAAAATAGAAACCAAACCACTACTTAAAAATCATAAAAACTCCACATAAAATATTTCATGTTATCTGCAAGTTATTCATTGTATAGGAATTTATGAAATAGTCTGGTTATTTCATAGAACTGCATTTCAGGAGTAAATTAACCAAACCTAAAGGAACATAGGGTTACTTTTTAAATAGATTAAAATAAATTTCATACTCAGTTGATAATGCCATTGAAGTAGGTAATGCAGTTAAGATACACAAGCTAAAAAGGAAAATGAATATATTTTGTGGTCCTTCCTGTTTGATTGCACTGTTGTTTATCACAGCTTAGCCATATCTATTTCTGTATTCTAAGTATTAAGCTGATATGTAGCTAAAGATTTCCTACAGTTCTGGTAACTGGTAACTAGTGCTGTGAAAGGTTTTGGTGTTGTAACATTCCCAGTTTTGTGAGTTATATATTGTATATTGAAGATGACTAATAAATGGGAGTAATATATTTATCTAGAGCTGGGAAAATATGATAATTATTTTCAGATCTTCAAGTAAGTTGTATTGAATTTTTTCTTCCTCTTAGGTGAGACGAAAGACTCACTTTTACGTTAAAATGTCTATTTATACAACAAGTTTCTCCTTTTACTGGTTTTATTAATTTTCATATTAAAAATCTTTCTTATCTTTTTATATTAAGAGAATTATCATGCTGGTGACTCAAACTGCCAAGATGTATTTTAGTTTGCAGGGCTTTTGGCAGACGAAATATTTAATAACCAACCAGCTTTGTATATTTTGTGGCTTTGGGAGCAAGAATTTTACCTTTGAATCTCTGTGCGAGGCAGTGCTGATATCAGCAAAGTCAAAACAGACAGTATTATACATAATCATCAGTAGAAGGTTTTTACACGTTGTATAAATCAGTGCATTTATTTATTATGTGGTGAAATTTAACCTTTATACAAAATGCAATTCTAGCTCTTTTCTTTGTTATTGCTGTTGCTTAGAATGTAATAGCTCTGTCAATGATTTACTTGTGTACTTGAAGTACTCGTTTCTGTCAAACAGATGCCCAATTTTTTTCCTTGTAAAATATGGTATTTTTTTTCTACCATCAGAGATAACTGAAAAGTAATAGGCATTTGGTTAAAAAATAATTTTCACGTTTAAAGGAAATATGGAAAAAGGCATAAAGCCAAAATGAAATCACCAATATTAAGAATTCAATGTAACCAAGGGATTCATTATGCTATATTTTGTCTGTATATATTTTATCTTCAATCAGAGCTTCTTTTCTGTGGTAAACTTTCAATTTTTGTTATAAAAGAGAGCTCAGTGGTTATACTGCCAATATGACATTCAAATGAACATGACGAATCTTGACCCCCTCCTCCCTAAATATCCCATATCTGCAGCTCTAGATTTCAGGGTGTATATTTTTAACAGGTTTGCAATTGACTCTGGGCTG